CAAAAAAACCAAAAAAAAAAAAAAAAAGCAGAATAGAACTGAAGGTCGTGCAGCAGAGGTGGATCCCCCAATACTGCTTTATACGTGCACAATTCAATAGCTTTTAGTAAATTCGCAGACCACAGTCATTTCGCCGATAATTTTCCTTGTGTCCACTTACAGTTAATTTCCATCTTTGCCCAAGTTCACTGCACATTTAAGCGCCCTTCCCTCTCCTCTACCTGTTGTCCTCACTCTGTCTGTCAACGCACATTGCAGGGAGTGGGAGTGGTGCCTATATGTTCCTTAGTGAGGGACATTGCCTGTAACACTGTACCATTAGCCACTTGGTGGAAGCCAACCACACAGGTACTTATGCATGTACATGTGTACACACACCCACACACACCCACACACCACTAACAACAATCAGGGAACTAATGTTGTACCTACCCTATCTCAGAAACGACCAGTACTACTGCCAGATGCTTCTAATCAGTAAGGCCACAATTTTCAAAGGCTCCACGAAAAATGGAATAGCATTCATCACAGTATATATTCCCTTTAGAAATCAACATGATTCAGACCTTACCCTGAAAGTTCCACCTTTGTTCCTTGAAGGCAATATATCTCACTGAATCCAGAGGTGAAAAACCAGATGATGGAGATGATAAGGGAACTCACAAAAATCAACATAATCCAACAGCTTCCAGAAAGCCAGTTACACACTCACCCAGTATGCTCTTGACAGCAAAGGTTAAACATTCTTGAAAACAAAGAGAAACATAGGAAGAGAAAGGTGACCTTTTATTGGAGGGGGAAATACTGGGTATTAAACCCAAGACCTTGGCACTGAGCTACAATTCCAACCCTTATTAAAATTTTTATTAGAAGACAGGGTCTCACTAAGTAGCTAAATTGCCTAGGCTGGGCTGGAACTCACAATCCTGCTTCAGCCTCCCAGAATGCCGGGATTCTACAGGTTTACACCACCACACCCTGCTCAAAGAGCTCTGCGGGAGTCTGTCTGAGAAGCCAGCTCTTGCCTTCAGTTTGTTGGCCTCAGTGCTGCATTCAGGGGTCACCCAGGTGCTTTGAAGAAGGAAAAACTCACACACCATCCAGCAGTTCCTCACTCGGAGGTAGAATGGGCTGCCGTAATCACTAGAGAGGTGGACCAGGCCTCTGTCACCTGCGTCTGGAGAAAATTAACTCTGCCTACCCTGGCTTCACCTTGAAAAATCCAATAGACACCCCTGAAATACATTTTTATGTAAATAAACCCACACACTGTTTATTTTTTAGCATTTTGAATTTCCACTGATTAAAAAACCTGTAACAGTGAATTCATACACAAAAATAGCAAAATTAACATTTTTTCCAACCTTTTTCAGTTATGGAAGCAAATGAATGGTATCTTTCAAATGGATAGAATTCTTCCTCTAAAGATGTAGGAAGAAGTTTCATACTAATTTAACACAGTTGCTAAAAATTCTGTTTCCTATGAATGTCACATTTTCCAGTTCTTCTCTCAGAATGACAGAAGATACATATAACAAAATGTATAAAACATTGGCTAGGCCTGCACCTCCTCCTAGGAGAATGGCAACAGAAAGTGAAAACCTGAATTCCCTGTAGAATTATTTTTTTTAAGAATAAAGAGCAGATATTATTTTTAATGCCCAAAGCCCCATAGTCCCTTTCCCCAGCTCCTGCAACAAACCTCACAGTTCTGTATTTTCTATTTTTAAAAGGAAGGAGAATATAATAAGAAAACTTAAATGTAGAGGCATATAGAGTATTTAAATGTGTAACTTTGTATTTTCAGTGCCACTCAAATTAGACAAATCACTACGGTAATAAGGACTAGAAAATTATGGTGGAAAGGAGTGATTTATCTCCCTAAACACACGTCCCTCTCGAGAAGATCACAGTGAATTAAGCTGAAGTGATTTGCACTCTGGCTTCTAAGAATGAGACCCTCAAAAGCCAGTGTCTAGAATCAATTAACCAGACTTGCACATTAACTTAAATGAATTTCAAGAACAGTCTAATACCCATATTAGAATCAACAGACAGAAAATTAAAATTGGATTGCTTCCTAGTGCTTCAGTGCACGGAGGGAAACAGTGAAATGTTGGTGATATACATTAAACAATGCTGAGGTTTTAAATGCAAGAGCACATAATCCGGTTGTGAGATTTTATGCATCCACGGAGGAGTAACAACCCCAGAAAAGGTATTTCTGTGCTGCCTGAAATAAACAAAGTTAAAAGAAATGAACATAGAAGATATACCCAGCACAGGGAAACTGTCATCATCAATGTGTAAACTGTAACACAGAGCAAGAGCAACCAGAGAAACCCACAGGCCACCTTCAGCATGCTTCTCCATGTCATGAGCAGCAGACAGTAAGCCTCAGAAACAAAATTACACGTGGGCCTCTACAACACCCTGCTCAAACACTGAAAACGAGCTGACACATCACAGTCGCTCAACTGGTATTCCCACTAGGCTTTCATGGGGCAATTAGTTGAGAAACAACTCATCTTCAGAAAACACTTCATTGTGTTTCACATCCAAATGAAAGGGGCAGATTCTATAATTCGGGCAACTTTACACTAAATCCCTACCAGAAAAACAATTCCTCACTCAACAGGGTGATAACTCAGACAATTCTAAAGCATTGTGGAGCAATTAAATTCTAAAATGTATTTTACAAACACAGATGGCAAAATTCTGCACCAAGAATACCAATGAGATCAATCTTTGCCCAGTTGGCACAACTTTCCACTTATTATTTAATGAAACACATTTATTTTGCTACTCCAAAATGTTGGGGATTAATTCAAGTTCTAAAAATTACACTGACCATGACCTTCCCACTGGCACAATCTTTAATTCCAGGTGCATTATTTTACAAGTTCTTCTAGAAGCTTTCAACTGCAGCACAGTAGTTTTATGATCATACTGTTTTCCATAGTCAAAAACAAGTACCTAAGATCACAAAGACTTCCCTTAAATCGGCTTGTTATAGCTTCACAAAATAATGACATCGACCTTAGAATCAAGACACTTCAATCCTATCAACTCCACAGCAGTAACAGTGCAACCAAAAAGAGACTTTTCGAGAGATCCTTCACCTTCTTTTTAATAATCTCATACACTCCCGCTCTGCAGCACTGAACTAAAACCCCCACACTTTCTTTGTCTTCCAAAAATAGCCAGCCTTGTGAAGGGAAGGCAGGAGATAATGAAGACCAGATGCCTACCTTCACTGGTAGCCACATTCTTCTGGGCTTTGGTTGGCGTGTGATCTGTACTTGAACTCACGTCGGATGAGATGCTTGAGCTGCCTTTGCCTGGAGAGAACAGAAATGAGTAGCATTTGAGTTTGGTAATTTCAGAAGTAGAAGACGGTGCCTTCCGCTAGGTTCCTCACCAAGCCACATCACTTATTTCCAAGAAAGGAGCTCGGATATCAGGAATGGAGTTTATTAAGTTTTTTGCCTTATGTATTAAATCTCTTCTGGGAAATATCTGATCTATGTTACAGCAGAGCTAAAAACCTCTTATAAGATGGCTTGACTAAAAACTCAGACAAGATTATAAAACACAGTCAAATATGACAGCATAGTTTCATTTTGGCATCCATGTGGGTAAGAAAGTGTATGTGGGGAACACATCTACTGCATTAATTTTTATTTGCAGCCACAAACCATGCATTTCTCAGTAAAGCAAATGAGCAAATCCAGGAAGGAGGCATTATCAGGAGGACCAAGAGCCTTCTGCTACCACATAGCCACACCATTTTAAGAAAACAAATTCCGTGTTTCTTTAAATATAAGAAACACTTCATTTTTCTGTCACAGTGTTTCTTATCTAGAGACAATCTTTCCATCCAAGGCGATAGATATCTGGCAATGTCTGGTATTATTTTTGGTTGTCACAACTGGGGCCAGGTTGCTACAGGTATCTGCTGGGTAGTAGCCAGGGGTGCTGCTCAGCACCTCGGAATGCACAGAGCGGTCATCCACACTATCTGCACTATTCCACCTAAATGTCAGTACTGCTGAGGTTGAGAAGTCCTGGTCGGAATATTACCTTAGCTCAAGACTGAGTTTCTACTCCTAACTTTAACAGAATCGTACACGTTGCTGCCAATTGATAAACAGTCTCCAAATGTCAAATCAAAGTCTGTAATCTGAACTACATTTTACTTCCCAGAGAGAGAGGTAACTAATAGCTATGATGGGCAGATTTCAAACATGCCTCGCAGGTGACCATGTCTTTGTGTCACCGGCTCCCCTTGAGCATAAGGAGAACCTGCAAATAACTGACATTCAGCAAATAAAATAGGGCAAACGTGAGAGCATTTTGCATATGTAATTAAAGTCCCTAAGGCGCAGACTTGATCAACTGAAAGTTGAGGGTATGTCAGACCTAATTAGGTGAACTCTTTAAGAGGATCTGGGAGAGCCTCTTCTCACTCGTCTTATAGCCCTACTACCATGTGTACTACCATCTCACGGAAGTGAATTCTGCCAACAAGCATGGGAGTTAGGAAGAAGACCCTGAGGCCTGGATGACCAGTTCCTTGGCTGCAGCTCTGCAACACTGCAGAAAAGACCCAGTTAATCCATGCCCAGAATTCTGACCCAAAGAAAGAATCCAGTGGACTTTGAGTTACATACATTGCTAAGGTACCGTATATTTTTATTCAGAAATAGAAAACTAATGCAATGACCAAATAATTCATCATAGAGGAACTCTTTACCCCACACATTGTGATTAGAATTATAACATTTAAGGGAGGGCAGGGACAAGGGGAAAAAATGAGTAGCAAGACCTGTCATGTGAAGGTACAGGATCCCAATAATGAATGTAACTGTGCAATATACCTAAAATGTACCAATAAACTCAATTAAAAAAAAAAAGAATTATAACATTCACCTGGGAAATGCTGTTTTCCAGTAGTCTTACCAGCCCAATGGCACATGCAAGGGCCAAATGTTCAGGTTCCCCCAACATTCGTATATTAAACTCTTAAACCCACAAAAATTGTACTACGAGGCGAGGTCTTTGTGAAGCAATTAAATTATGAGAATGGAGCCCTTATGACAGAGCTGCCCGACCTCTTCCACGATGTGAAGACACAGTGGAAAGATGGCTGTGAATGAACCAACTCCACCCAACACTTAACCTGCCAGCACCTTGATCATGGACTTCTTGGTCTCCCGAATTGTAAGGCATTAACTTCTGTTATTTATAAGCAATCCAGTCTACAGCATTTGGTTAAAGTCATCTGAAAGGACTGAGACAGTACACAATCACAGTTAGGTGGAAAGAGCTTACTGTCTAAATTCATAAAGAGTAGAAAAGCACAAATGGGCTTGGATTTTGAGGAGACTTTGCTATGCTTATGTTGGAACAATTGAAACACATGGACATCGCCAGACCAGACCAATGGCTGCTGTCTCCTCACTACTGCCTCTCACTCCCTGTGACTTATGGCTCTGAAGCAAATCTGTTGTTTCCATCATCTCTGCCCATTTCACACAGTCTTCTCCCAGAGTTGGCTGGGATGGTGCAGTACTCCATTACTTTGTGTCTATTCAGCCCAGCGGCCAGGCAGTGGTCGCCACGGTTTCCAACTGTAGGTGGACTGCCCTGAGGGGCTGGGAACTGGTATGTCAATCTGGTCTCTGCCTCAGGCTACCACTCCTCTGCTTTTCCATCTTGGGCATTCACTTCTCCTAAAAGCTCAATGTCCACATCTGGTAGAGAAGATGATTGGAATAAAAGCTTCCTAACACCTCGAACAGTGTATGATTCAATGATCGATCACATTCCTCTTCAAAGCTGAGTAATACAAACACTTCTGATGGGGCAAAAAGCATCACTGCACACCGCCAACATACAGACTTAAATTATTTTAATTATATTATTGTTTAGTGATGTGCAAACGGAAAAGCAGAAATAAATTCCATATGTTCTAGCTCTGACTCAATGAGAAAACCAAACCAAAAGAACAAATGAAGCACAGAAATAATAAAATCCATAACAGTGAAATTAACAGCATTAGTTTAATGTGAAAGATTTTGCAGAGAATAACCTGTCTTTCAAAACTTAAGTGTAGTCCTGGCTGCTCTGAAAGCCAGTATTCTTTTGGACTGGCGAGCTTGTCCTCCCTGGGGCCAGGGAAGACTCAATCTGCAACCTCAACACCAGTATCCTCTGCTGGACTCAGGAAGACCTTTTCTCCCCTACCAAGGGGACCATCACTGGACCTCCACTGGGTCTCCGTCATTCACATTTCTAAGTCTGTTCCTTTCTTCCGTAGCCCAAACACTGAAGCACAGTGCCTTCCTTGGAATATGGGAAACTTTGATAATGAAATCCTGGGGGAGGAACTTGTTAGAAAGGGGAAGTAATATACAATGACTGTTCCTTAATTTTTAGTAGACGCATAATTGAACATATTCATGGATTTCAGTTTGACATTTAATATAGGTATACAATGATCAGGATAACTGCTATATCCATCACCTTTAATGTTTATGATTTCTTTGCGTTGGGAACATTCATTTTAAGGTGACAGCTGAAATCACAAAGACAGACAAATTTCTGAGGAAATTCTTGGACATGCCTGAGAACACGGGTGCACACCACCTCTCTGAGGTCACAAACTCCAGATTACTAAATTCTGGCCTTGTACGAAAGGGAATAGAATCAATTAGCATTATTTATACCAGGAACATTGTGTTCACATGGTGTGTTGAGTACTCAAATACATATTTCCCATGCTTCATCTTAAGTATTCACCATGCCACACACCAGAAATTCTAGATTGTTTTTGATTATTATTCCCCTAAGGAAACTTTTAGACTTTTTCTCCTACTTGTCCTACCCAGGGACATTGTAAAACCAGAGACATACTGTATATCTGTATGTGTGTGTGTGTGTGTGTGTGTGTGTGTGCGCGCGCACACACACTTTATACTTAAAAAGGCCAAGGATGCTTTTCACCTCCCAGGAACCGGTTTCCCTGGGGAAAGCAATACTGTCTTCATTGACAGTGAATGTCTTTGGATAAGCAAATTTTTTGACTGGCTGAGCATTAAATCAAGTAAATAGCTAAGGACGGCAAGATAACACAGAAAGCTGACTCTCATTATTCAAGGTTAGTTAGGTGATATAAAGACAAGACATACACTGAATTAGTGAATAGTGAAACCTCGTACTGAAAGGAAATAAAAGGATAGGTTCCTGTGAGCCTCTGACCACATTTTCAGTGAGTGAGCAAAACATAACCTTGTTTTATGTGTGCTTCTCTTCAAAGATATCGGCTTAATGTGTGTTTTAGATTCATTAACACTAAAATGAAAGCCAACATCATGATAACGCACGTCTGAAATCAGCTTAGCCTCCTCGCCCAGGGGACATGACAGCTCCCTGGCCTCCAGGAACACAAGACAGCTCTTCCACACTCCACCTGGCGGTCGTTTCGGAACCGAAATCACCACCAAAAAGCCATCAACCCAAAAAGAAGCAGCGCTACACAGACTACGGAAAGAACACTGTACTCAGAGCAGAGCTGAAGCAAGCAGAGCGAGCACTGATTTCCTGACGCTCTTGGGAAAGCGGACACTGAAGACTTGGTCACCTCAGTGTGCTGTGCGTGTTGATTTTAGCAGGTAGGAAAATTCCGGATTATGAAATCTGCAAATAAACACGATTGATTAACTGGATAGAATCTTGCCTTAAACGCGGTTTTATTTGTACCCAGTTTTCATGTAGGCCACCCCAGGCGGCATATAGGATCACAAGTCTTACCTCTTAGGGTTATTGTGATGGCTCAGTAAAATAATCCAGATGTTAAATTGAATGTTTAAACTCTAAAAATGTATTACAGTGGAAGGCACACTGCCCTCAATCCTTTTCAAAATACTCCCCTTCACTCAGACACCCTTATCCCGTTGTCCTTGTCACTTTCTGCAGCAGTTTCCAGTTTATGGCAACTTTTACCTCAGCCAAAAAAAAAAAAAAAGAAAAACCTACACCATGTCCTCATCCAGCTTATTCACAGGATCTGACACTGTGTGACTTCTGGCTCTTCCGCCAAGTCAAAATGATCATAAAAGGTAAATGTTTTGAATCACTTCAGGCCCTTGAGGCGGATATGAAAGGACAATAAAGACACTCACCAGAAAGGACCTCCAGAATTGCTTCAAAAATGGCAAGAAAGCCGGATGTGGTGGCACAAGCTTGTAATCCCAGCACTCGGGAGGCTGAGGCAGGAGAATCGCTGTGAGTTCGAGACCAGCCTGGGCTACATAGTGAGTTCCAGGTCAGTCTTGAC